CGGCGAACGTACATTGCGGAACGCAAACTCTCGTTTTACGATTTACGCTAACCGTCTACACAGGCTGGTTATTGAGGGGCCTTCCCACCAAGCAAAGGGCAGCTTTGCTTTCGTGACACCTTTGGGCGATACTGTGCTGAACGCGCCCGGTCACTCTTGCGCCTCCTTTTCGGGTCTTGCGTTACATGCTCATGTGCATTGCAGGCTATTGGGTTGGCCTCTCCCGCATTGTCAACATCCAGAGATGCAGATCAGACAAACAGCTGCACCTGAATCAAACATGTAAGAGGTGACGTGTCCAGTGCTTACAAAGCTCCTCCATCTTTTCGGGAGTGTGATTGCAGAAAGCAATCAGGCAACCTGCAGAGATTCAGCGCCAAAGGTTCTGCATGGTTCGGTTGCGTCCCAATGCCGGCCAAGGGGCTGTATGAGTTAAACCATTCTCCCCGCAACTGCTGAAGCAAAGTGCCGCCCTCCCACCATCTGGAATATGCTTGCTGTGACCTGTGGCCATGTCACATGTCTCGCCTACATTCCACCGACGTAGCAATTGAGCAGCTTTCGCCAATGTCTGTGCAGGGAAACTTCTGAGCCGGCAGCCGGAAAACTATCAGGAATCCAAGCACGAAAGTGAAGCCGTCAAACACGTTTTGCTCTGACGCTCCATCGCCGATCACTTCAAGAATTGCGGGATCTAGGCCTCAAAACATAAGGGGCTCATACGTGAACCAGTAAAGTGTCCGCATTGAGACCGAGCCACGTAGCAGCCAATGCAGCAGCAGCGCAAACGCAGCACATATCCCAGCTGGAGCCTGGCAGAACCAACCCAAAACCTAATTCCCCAAACAGTCTACTGTTGGGGTTCTAAATTCATTTAAGGATGGCCGACGTTCTGAGGACTGTTGCCGGGTTCCGGGGCTCCTTGTCTCCCTTTGTCTCCCTTTGTCTACCTTTGTCTCCCTTTGTCTCCCTTTGTCTCCCTTTGTCTCCCTTTGTCTCCCTTTGTCTCCCTTTGTCTCCCTTTATCTCCCTTTATCTCCCTTTGTCTCCCTTTGTCTCCCTTTGTCTCCCTTTGTCTCCCTTTGTCTCCTGTTGTCTCCTGTTGTCTCCCTTTGTCTCCCTTTGTCTCCCTTTGTCTCCCTTTGTCTCCCTTTGTCTCCCTTTGTCTCCCTTTGTCTCCCTTTGTCTCCCTTCATGCGGGTGGCTTTGCCGGGTTGCTGTGCTCCTCGCCTCCCTTTGTCTCCCTTAGTCTCCCGGCGTCTCTCCCGGCGTCTCCACTGTTTCTTTGACGTTCTTTTGACTGTTTGGGGTCTTCGGTGGTGTAATCCTCTATGTCATTTTATGTCCATCTTTTCCAGAATCTGAAATCTTCAAGGCAACCTCTAACGTTTCATTCTATAATGTATGACCGCTGCATATTGCTGCTCAACAGTGCCAAGAAGCAAATGCACGAGGGAACACAGAGCCGCGGAGCCGGAATGCAAATCCAACGCCCCACGAACCAGGCTGGTACCTCAATGCGCCGTCGAGACAAGTCGGAAATTGATAACCAGCTTCAAAAACGACATTAGCACACAGAAACAGCGAAAATCAGCGAAATCTGCGCTCCCGTTTCAAGCAAGACACGTAATCATGGACAGTCTCACGTCAATGCCTGGGCTATTGGATGCACTGCTGCCAGGGACGTTTGATGGCTTCTGGTTAGCTCCAGGCACACCAGAAAATTGTCTCGCACTGGGAGGGGCTGCTGCGCTTGAGCAGACTGTGGCCACCAAGGCAGCCGAGGCATCGGTTTGCGCTGATCACTTGCGCGTGTGCTGGGCTGCACCATGGCAGCTACATGAGGTTTCAGTCAACCATGCACGGCCGAGCTTCGTTTTCGTCGGACATTAACTTACCTCTTCAGCTAGACTCGTACACGCCAGGCTTCCAACAAGAAGGAAGCAGCGAGATCTTTGCGAAACGTTGATGAATTTTAGCTCCGCAGCTGCACTTCTTTGTGCTGCAGCACAGCATCGTGCGAAGAATTCCGCTCAAAGCGATGCTTGAATGTTTTTATGTACCTACCCCATGACACAATATTGAGGTGATGCGTTTGTGTCCTGACCAAATGTTCAAGCACCAGTGAGTTGAAAAGAACATTGGCTTGCCAAGCAATTCCTGGACGGAGGTGGTTGGGGAACCCACTGCTTGCATAATTCCTTCCTCCATCACAGATTGATCTTTGTGCGCGGCAATTGCCAGCTCTCATACAAGGGAAAGAATGGCGAGGAAGTCTCAGCCTCGACAGCTACTGAAACACAGATGCCCCGGCTCCGACTCGCATAGTGGATGTGCTGGGCAAAGCTTGCGCATGCAACAAACAGTCTCAAGCGCCGGACCAGCTGCTGGGCAACACGAGGGAATTGTATCGCCTTGGAGGAGCGTCTTTGTTTTCTAAAGTTGATGAGAAGCCTGTTCTCGTGGCTGCGGTTCGTCAACTTGCTCCAATATCGACGCATCTCAGTACTTGACCGGAGCTGCAGCTGCTGCAAGTCCTGCGGCGTCAGGATATGTCATTTACAGTCTCGGTACAAACACCTAGAATCCTAGAACTGGACGTCCTGATGCGCCAACGACAGGAGATGGCAATGCAAAGCTCCTGATCAACTCCGGCAGCTTTCGCCAAGCTCTGCGCAGATCACAGGTTGCATTGAGATGCTGGCCCGCCGAAAGAAGCAGACAGCGGAAGGCCGGCGCAAAAGGAACCCTGCGCGCAAGGCCATGGTTGGCGTCAACACTGCCGAAACTCCGTGTCTTTGCACAGGGTGGGCTGATCATCTCGACAGTCATTCGCATCCTGCTTGGACATGGGATTGGTCGCAAGGCTTCTGGCCTGCAAGCACAAGACGGGATGCCAGGATTCCTTGACACTTGACCGCCCCTCCTGCATCAGCAAGTTGGGCTCAGCTAGCAGAGTTTTGCGGGCCGAGGATGGCAGAGAAGCTGACGCCTTGAACATGACTGTGGCTGACTGTGGCTCGTCGACGTGCGATGTGCTGTCGGTACGTGTTCGGAGCCAGGCATAGCCAGGCCCCAGGGCCACTGAAGTTCTTGCGCGTCTCCACGCCTGTGGCAATGTCTCTTGGCAATCCAAGAAAAATTCAAAATTGCTCCCGGGTTCCTGCAGATCTTGGCTGGTAGTCCGACCAGGCAGCTCGCCGAAGGGCGAGGGCGGCTTTCCTCCCAAACTCAAGGCAGTCGGGAAACATGTTGCTTGCAGACAAATGGAAACCTTGCTCTGGCGAAGACTGGGTGACGGAAGACGGGCTTTGGCTTGCTGGTGATGGCCAATCTGTCACTCCTGGAAAAAAAAACTGCTCATCTCTGTTGGCAGCTTTAACGGCCCGGCACAAACTGATTTTTTTTGCACACCTGCAAATGAAAAGGAGCTGGGTGTGTGCGTCGAGGTGGTCGAGGATGGTGTCCATGTCGCGATACCTTGAAGCAGATCAGGCAATGGCCTCGGAACAACACGAGCAACCACGAACAGCCAAAAACCCAGCTGCCCGACAAGCCGCTTGCTGAAGATTCCGAGCATTTTCAACAGGCTGGGGCGCGTGCCCGAAGAGCGGTTGCTGACTGGAAGCCTGACCCATCTTGTGTGCAGACTCACGCAGCCAAACCTATCAGAAACGCTTACCCATCACTCGTGTCCAGTGGCGTCCAGCAAATTTCCCAGTTCGGCAATCAACCAGACGTTTTGCCCTGTCACCATGTCCTGCCATACTTGCTCTGGCGTCAAAAACGGTGCTGTAAGGCAACCATGTCCAGGGCACCTCACACCTGTAGGTCCTCATCGACGCTGCCTGCCGAACTCTGCCACCAAGCTTCATGCTAGTGCCAAACTGGGGGGAAGAGGTGGCCAACGAAAGCTGGCAAGACCACGTACCTAGACCGAGACCTAGACTCCGAGCCCTCTCTTCATGTGTGCCTTCCACTTGCAGACGGCCAAATCCAAACCCTCACCTACTCTCACAGATCTACACCATCGCCACAACCTCCCCCAACACTACACAAGTCAAAAAAAGCAGCACGCATAGAAGGATGCTTGGGCAACACGATGGCCCCCCTCGCAGCTTGCCACTCCCTAGCAGACCTAAGTTTCCTGTGAACCCATGTTTGAACTCACGGGCTCGTGCGCCCACACCCTCCTCCTCTTGGTGTTTGCGATGATTCTGTGGCCCTCCTTCGTGCAGTTGCTTGCTCCTTTGCTCACTGCCGCCAAACATTGGGAATGTGTCCATTAACCCTCGCACTGCCGCCCGAAACCCTAAAAGCCCCGATCGTGGCCTGAGTCATACCTAAGATTTCTTCGGAGCACCGATGAGTCCAGGTAGTCCAGGCAACCCTTCTTCAACGTGACAAACTTCAGGGGACGAAACGGGTCCGTGAGGTGGGACACTGGGTCGACTCTGGTCCCTTTTGATTTGGCGTCACATGCGATGGGCGGGGCCGTTTCAGTCCAAACTTGTGCAAACCAAGCCCCTGGCTGTTGAGAAAGCCATGGCGGCAGGATGGCAGCGGCTGGAGAATTTGAGAGGCACCCACTTCTTGGTTGTAGCTCTATCGCCCTGTGGGCATTCGCCACTCGGGCGGTTTGATACTTGAAGATCTTAACTTCCTGCTTCTTTGGGCAAGGGTGGAGAAGAAACGGTCAGCACTGACAGGTATGAGATGGTACCAAGGCCCCACGCCCGATAGTCTCCAAAGTTCTTGTCCAAGGGGTGTGTCTTTCTGTCAAGCCCTGACCCTCTTGTTTGCTGGTCCCCTTGTCTGGGCTCTGGCCCGTGAATTGTGAACGGATTCAGCCATATCCTTCCGAACACAAAACCATACATCCTGCCCCATACAAGGTGCTTACTGCATCGCTGCCTGCCACTCATGGCTGAAGGCAGCCTGAAGTTCCTGTCATCATGGAGTGTCAAACATCCGTGGCAGCTGTCATTGAAGATCAATGCCTGGGATAAGGGATGTTGGCTCTGAAGTGAATTGCAGAACTCCTCCCTGTCCTTGCCATGGGTGTACTCAAGCAACGCAAGCAGCTCACTTTCGACGGCAAGCGTTGCAAATGTTTGCTGTTTTCACCTTGCAGCTGAGCACAAAGCGCAGGAAACACAGAAAGGGCTCAGAAAGTCGGCCAGGTGCAGGCGCCCGTGCCGATCGATGAGAACATTGTCTGCCTCAAAACTCGCACGCGAAACGCACGCTTTAGCGCATTAGCTGCGCAAACTGCGTATGCCTGCACGACTTGTGTGCACGAGCAGATGAAGGCCTGCCTTGAAGTCGCCATGACGACGCCCGTGGATAGCTTGGAAGTGCCTGCGTTGGTACAACACGCATCTTCGAATCCTATTGGCAGATGCGGCCATGTACACACTCCGATCCTCGCCTCCCGAGCAATGCTACTTGACGCACCAGGCTCCGCAAAGCTTTTGTGTGTTCGCACCTCACCTTCACATGACCACATGACCCCCGAGTCCACGCGTTGACGTCCACTCATGTCCATTCATGCTCGTGGCATGTCGTGCCTCAGCATCGGCACGGTGTGCCGAGCATGCAGATGCCTGCTGGCGCACGCCTAGCGGGATTCACAACCCTGCAAGCCAAACTGACCACATGTTCTGCATCTGAGACTGTAGCCACATGGATGTGTACGCTCGTAGCTTTTCCAAACATCCGCGACCGACTGGCAGGTTGGGAGGTACTCGAACACGAGTACCTTTCTGCAGCCGGATCTGCGCAGCATGTGCAGAACATGGAAGTGATGGGAACGAGAACGAAACGTAGTTCTGAAGACAAAGCAAGGATCTCTCATGAAGTAGAAGCACAAGTGAAAGCAGTCTCGGCCTCGCATATGAATGCCGAGGAAGCGTGGTCTTGACAGATGAAGAAAGCCTCCGGAAAAATGACTTGTGGATCCTGCCATGTGACAGTGTGAAGCTGTCAAGCCGTCTGGTGCAGCAGTGTTTGCTAGTGGTGTTGGCTGACAGTCCTTGCAGAGGCTTGGGCTCGATCGGCGTAGCCTCTCTGCTTCCAAGGCTTCACTGAACTGGCCCCCTGCACCACCATGTGGCCTGACAGGTTCACAAGATGGCGAATTGCAAGCTTGCACTTGCACCACCCTGGCCTGATGCACTTCATCAGCTTTCCACCCAGCTCCAGCATAAAGACCTGTGAAGCAAAAAAAGTGTTGCCGATGCTGCTTTGTGGTTGGCGCTCTTGAACCAGCCATGTGGGGGAGATACGTGGTTGAACCCGCTGCATCGCAAACGCCGGATGCCCTCGGCAGAACTCCTTCCGAACAAAGTCTTGATGCCGTCCTTGGATGGATGTGGGCGCGGGCCGCGCTGGGGCACAATTCATGACACCTTTGTGCATGAGCTGCTGGCTGATCCGAAGGTTCGCGTCACTGCTGCCGGCAGGTCATGCTCTGCCGCGTCTACTACCTGGCTTGACCGTCCACAAAAAACACAGCTGTGAACCCGAGCGCATGCTGAAGCCCCACGCCTCTTCCAAATCACCCACCAATTGCAAAACCAATGCAGCACTGACGTCAAGTTCAGCTGCTGCCTGCAAACATCAGAAAATAGCACAGTGCAAAAACAGCAGGAAGCGGTCGAACAAGGACGCGTTCTGCAAGAGCTTGTCAGGTGGTGGTCAACAAAGCGAGCAGCGCAAATCCGCCGAGGCCTCGGGCCGAAGGTGTATAGGTTGTGAGAACAGGCACCCCCCTCCAAATCCTCCCCCCACACCCAAAACCCCCTTTTTTTGCCTCAAATGGGTACCCCCCCCCTAGGAAACCGGGGTCTGTAAGCGGACGGTTCGCCAGGACCAGAGGCAGTTCAAGCCCGTCCCAGCAGGGCCCCCCCCCTTTTCCCTCGTGTCTCCTTTGTTTCCTGCTGTGGCTGCGAAAAACCAACAGCACGAAACCCCAAACCGTGAACCTTCCCTAAGCCCTCAACCCTTAACTAACCCTCAACCCTAAACCCCAAACCATAAACCATAAACCCGGAACCCTAAACCCTAAACCCTAAACCCAACCCGGATTGCTTGGGGTCCAGCAACTTGGGCGCTGCGGAATCACCATGCTCACGCGGATGCGCTGGGCCGGGCCGAGGCGGGTCGCGTAGCGTTAAGATTAAGCAGGACTGTGTACGATTGCCTCGGCAGCTTGGCAGCATTGGCAGTCAATCTGCGGTGCCACAAGGCCTGATGTGAAAACATGACCTCCCTCCACAAAAACAGAATGTGAGAGAGAGAGAGATATATATATATATATACACATATAATATCACATAATATGTATATCGTCACGCGCTCCGCAAGGGGTTGGGTGTATTTGGGGTATACGGTTGTTGGGATTTATGGTCCGGTTTTGAAGTTTAAGCTTTAAAATTTTTATTAGGGTTTAGGCTTTAGGGCTTTAGGGTCATGATCTTTTTACTTCCCCCCTCCTGCGGTGTGGCTGTGGGGTGGTTTAGGGGTTAAGGTTTAGGGCTTCTGGTTTCAGACTCTGGCGTTTTAGTTTTTCAGGTCTTTAGGGTTTCTTGGCTTAGGGTTTCAATCAGGGCTTGGGGATTTTAGGGCTTTCAGGCCTTAAGGGGGTTTTTAATTTAAGGTTTAGGGCTTAGGGTTTTACGTGGAGTTTAGGCTTCGGGCTTGCGGGCGTTGGGTCTCTAAGCCCTGAACCCTAACCCTGAAACCCTGCCCAAGAGCCTTAACCCCCCCCCCCCCCCCCCCACCGGGGGACCCCCCCCATTTGGGGGAGGGGCGGGGGGGTGGGGCGGAGACGCCTGACGCCTGACTTTCTTCATTTCTTCATTTCTTCATTTCTTCATTTCTTCATTTCATTTCATTTCATGTCATTTCATTTCCTTTCCTTTCCTTTCCTTTCCTTTCATTTCATTTCATTCCTTTCAATTCCTTTCAATTCCATTCAATTCCATTCAATTCCATTCAATTCCACTCAATTCCATTCAATTCCATTCAATTCCATTCAATTCCATTCCATTCCATGCCCTTCAATTGCATTCCATTCCATGCCAGTCCATGTCATTCCATGCCATTCCATGCCATTCCATGCCATTCCATGCCATTCGATTCCATTCCATTCCATTCCATTCCATTCCAGCCCTTCATTTTCTATTTACTACATATTTTCATATGTATTTAATTAATTCATTAATGACTTATCATGAAAGTAGGTGGAGGTCACAAAAAAACAAGAATGCCGAATGCCACATGGCAGCGCGTTGCATGACTGAGTTTCACGCCAAATTCTGCAAATTTGTCTTCTGTGTTGCCTCTCTCCATGTCTGACATGGGGCCAACATCTGCGATGCCGCCAGGCCTGCTCAAATATGAGGAGTGCAAACCATTCGGCATAATTTGGTTGGGGCCTGCCAACGGTGGAATGCGCCGTCACCTGCTCTGGGCCATGCCGATATTCAGATGCGACCGGGTGCAACCAAATTCACACATTTCGCAGAGCCTCGAACTTGTCGGCCGATCCAGGCCATTGGTGGTACCTCGGCATCCGCTACCGAGTAGTTGGATAGACTGTGCTTAAAAGGTGCCGGGGCGCTGCGGCGAAGTTTGTGACGTGCGCATCCTCTCAACTTCAGGGTGCGGCCTCAAGTCAGCAGGCAAGTCCAGCTAGTGCAGCACACTGAGGAACATTTGCCGCGTGCTCAAGCAAGACCCAGACCACGTTGGAACCTCATCACATCAGGACGAATGGCTGCCACACTGTTGCCACACGTCAGCTCTAAACCCTAAACCCAGCAGAAATTGAGGCTGTGGCAAAGCTGTCCCACGATGGACAGCGCAATTCATCCTGCCCGGGATGGCTTGGCCATCGCATGTCCTTGTGGAAACATCACATGTCGTGTCTCAGCGCATTTTGAACCCAGACTGGGCAACTCACCTTGAACAACTGAGGTTGCCGCCACTCTCGCCACAGCTACCCCTCCCTTTTGCAACATATTGGGCTTGCTGAAGCCAGGCCGGGCACCAGGAAATGCATGGAAGTTGGAGACACATCTTCACTGGCAGTTGCTGTGCCAATCATGAAGCAACAAAGTCCAAACACAATGGGTTCGCTTGACAACTGTCCCGCCACGGCCTGTATCGACTGAAGCCACCCTACTACGAAGTCGCTAGGGCGCAAACACACAATAAAGATGTGGCCCACAAGCAACCGGTAGGATCTGAAGACCTCACGATCTAGCACTACAATTGTAAGCCAAATCTTGCAATCCGGCGGTGAGACCCTACGCCCTACGATGCCCTACGCACTACGCTTGAAGCCTGTGCTCTTGCAGGCTTCGCTGCGGAAATCATAGACGCCTTAGGTGGCTGGGGGAAGGCCCGCAGAAACTACTAAATACTTAGCAAAAACAAACGCGCAGCCTGCATGCAGCCGTTGCGCAGCCGTGCGGTCTTGTCATTGCGGATCGTGACGGTTGTCAACGCCACAATTGCAGCCGGCAGCAAAATGCACAAGCAACACGTGGCTTTTGCAGATACCCATCCTGCAATTCGACATCCCCTGAGCTGTTGGAAGCTGCGGAAACCATGCTGCGAAACAGATTGCCACAACCGCACCGACGCCAAACCGTGATGGGCCAAAGCTTGCCAAGTCGCAACGACGTGGTGACGGAGATAATTGCAGATGCTGGAATTGCAATCCTCCACAGTTCCTCGCCCATGACGGGAACCACACCAGCTGAGCGCGACGCTGCTAGCACGCCACCTGGGGACATCCATGAAAGCATGCTTTGCTACACGAGCACAAGTATGGAACAATGTCATTTTTTGGAGGCGAGCGTCAGCACAAACTCGCAAAACCAACCAGGCTGTAGAGGCATAGCAAGCGATCTTCGTAGAAGAGAAAAGCCGCTGCTCCCACGTGCACATACTGCCACACGCTGTCAACAACTACCTCAAGGCAATTCACATGTCTTTTGCCGATTGTGTCTCATGCATACGCCCAAGGCTGTGGCAGACACGATATCTTGTATCGATTTTGACTTGGATGTCGAAGTCGAAATGTCGTTCGACGTCGGCAACCCACTTTCGCTGGCCAT